GGCCAAATGATTTTTTTGAAAAGATGCAACTTTTAACGACAACCATAAAGCAGTTACTTAGAAAAAATTACTTAACGAGTTTTTTTACGAAAAGTCACATCAACAAAACAATTTATTTTTGAAAAGATGCAATTCTTAAAGAAACCTAAAAACGGCTATTTTCGAAAAGACACAATTTTTTACGAAACAATTATAGTGAAAAGACACAACTCTTGATAAAACGGTTAAACAACAAAAAGACGTAACTCTTGACAAAACAGTTTAACGAAAAGATGCAATTGCTGCAAATAACCATAAACAGGTGTTTTCGAGTACGCAACCCTTCAAAATAACCACTAGACAAAAGGATTCAATCAAAATGTAATATAGAAAAAAACAATCTCAACATTTAAATCAGGCAACGGGTTTTTATACCATATTTGAGTTTGTTTACCATCACTAAGACAATTTACCGGTTAAAACATGGGTGGCAATTTAGCTTTGATAACAACAATCTTCTACAAGCAAAGCAAACATATCTTCACTTACAAAAGATCCAATTGATATTCAATTTTAAAAAAATATCATACCCTGTACATTTTCTAATATAAACAAAAATAACAAAAAAAAGCCACTTAAATTCACCACCCGCAAATAAAAAAGCATAAAAAATAATATTGAATATGAGTTGATCAATTACCAAATCCTAAATAGAGCACTAAGATCTAAAAAATGGGAAAAATAGTTATATACATATGAATTTTGTTCGCACACCCTCCATCGCAAATGAATGAATAAACAAAGAAGATAAGTGAAGTAAGTAATTTACCAAAATGACGGATTTCTTTAGAGACAGACGTTCTTCATTGGGCGGAGGCGTGATTTATGTCATCAAACTTTAATAATAATGCAGAAAAATAAGAAGAAAAATTCGACCACTATGGATCAGCAAATTAACTAAATTATGAAGAAATCAAAACAAAACTAAGGCATAAAATTGGAGTACAACCAGTCTAACAATTTTGAACCATAAAAACATTATCATTATTTGGAATCGTAGATTGTTGATTATCACAAAAATTTGAGTACGATTGCAACCATGACATGAAACTGAGATTAGCAACACATAGATTAACAAACATGACTTAACTAAGGGCAAGAAGTCAAGTAAAAATGTTCAACACAAAAAATTATTTGGAGTTAAAAAAGACACAAATATATATAGGGCAAATAGTTTTTTTTTTTTTTAAGTCGCAACTCTTTTAAATAACCATAAATCGGTTATATTGAAAAAACGCAATCTTTAAAAATAACCATAAAGCGGTTATATTGAAAAGACACAAGATTTGAAAATAACCATAAAATAATCATTTGAAAGGATACAATCATAAAACAGATTTATCGAAGAGAGGCAACCCTCAAAACGGTTATTGAAATTCTCAACTCTTGACGATACGATTATATCGAAAAGACACGACTTTTAAAAATAACTACTAAACGGTTTTTTTTTTTTACAAAAAGTCATAACTCTCAAAATAACCATAAACAGTTATTTGATTTCGTAACTTTTGACGAAACGGTTATATCGAAAAGACACAACTGTTGAAAATAACTACCAAACAGTTTTTTTAATATGAAAAGTCACAACCCAAAAATATTCTTTTTTTTTTGTTTGCTATTATATATAGATACAAATGTATCCCACCCATGAAATAATTGGAAACAACAAATTTTTAGTTTGGTCAATATATATCACTTATTAATAAAATGTATTTATTTAATATCATAATCTTCAAAAATATAGTTTATAACTCAAATATACAAAATAAAATATTACAAATATGAATTGAATTTTATAGGTTTAAGGTAATTATAAGAGTAAGTGAATATTATTAGTAAAC